CACTCAGGCCCATGGTCCTAATCATCCTCTATGCAAACCTGCTGGGTAACGCCACAAGGAACCCAAGAAGGGCTCCCACAGGACATACATTAATATCCCACAGCACTTCTTGCCAGTGACAATTGACTTCAGGGTCTCACTGCACCAGGAAACAAAACCCTGGTGGGTGAATCTCAGACAGGCAAGGCCCCGACAGCCTCGGCCCCAGGATGTCTCTTGCTACTGCTGTGTCTTTGCGTGTTTGCACTGCCATTTTACTAGGATATCTGGCATGGTGTGAAGGGTGTGGGGGATCCCCACTGCCCTTAATGCAGTATGATCATCTCTTGGAAATAGCCCGTTCTACTGGGCATTTTTACCTGTGGATTATTGCGGAGATGATTTCCTCCTAAGCTGTACTGTTTAACTGAAGCAATGACTTTATACATTAATAGTGTTAGTTTAGAAAGGGTTTTGATGATTGAGGGTTTTTAATAAATATAGTAAAGAATTATGATAGAGGTTAGTTTAGTGGGAAAATTAACGTAGGTAAATGTTGCTGGAATTGTGATATTGGTCCCTTAGTCAATAGTAAGTAGCAGCTTGGCCTAATAGATGTTGGTCGTCTCAGAAGAGAAGTGACCAGATAAGAAGCCATGCATGGGGGGTGGGGCTCGCTCTCTTGGGCTGTGGAGGGGCTTCTTGAGGCCGTGCAGAATGAGCAGCTTGGTGACCTTCCCCGGACCTTCCCTATCGCCCATTGGAATGAGAGGCAGCGGCAGCTGGATCAGTGGTGGCATTGCAGCTTTGTTCTGTATCGTGAGTGTAGTGTACTAATTTTGTCTGTCAATAAACTTCGAATTGACCCCACACTTCTCCCCTCTTTACCGGTACCCAACCCAATGGCAGCCTGAGCCCACCCGGCCCCACAACTAGCCCACGTCAGCCCCAGGAGCCCAATACCGGACACGGCCTGAGAGTGTTCAGGCCTTCCTCCTTCTCCCCCTGAAGCACACGCTATCAGCTGGGGTTCTATGAGCCCTGGTTGCACCCTGGTGTGCACAGGCCCACAGACGCCGGGCAGGTTCTGGTCCCGCTGCCCAGCGCATTTTTGCTGTGTGCCGTTAACCTCCCAATTCCAGCGCAGGCAACTGCTAGAGTAGAACCTACTGTGGCGTACAGCTTCTCTCTCAAACCAGTTTCGTGCAGTGGGTACAACTGCTGGCACCTCACCTGCTTCCACCTGCTGGTAAAACAGGGTTACCACCACCGAACACCTTCACTAGACCCAGCCATCGGGGCACCTGCTCCACCTGCTGGTCAAACATCAATACTACATCTGCAACAATTATCTGAGGATCTGACCCGCAGTAATTTAACTGACAACGTTTAAAAGGTAAACAAACAAACAAAAAAAGTAAACTTACAAATAAATAAGTAAATAGATAACTAACTAACTAAATAAACAGATAAAAGAGAGGGTAAAAGAATAAAGGGAAAGGACAATCTGTAAACCTTTCCCAGGTCAATGGCTGCAAATATCACAATGCAGGGAATTATGGCCCTGCTCACTGCTATTATGGACGGGATACTAGAAAAATTTACTGAAGAGATAAGCAACCTAACTGGGATCAATTTGGGTCATAATTATTATTAGTCTCACAATTCATATCTTATCCTTAAAAATGGTTTAATAGCAGTGCCCAAAATGAGAGATTGATGAAAAATACAGGCCTTGGAATATAGTAATGAAAAATTGATTGTAAAGATACAGGCCTTGGAATATGGTAATGAAAATTTGACTGTAAAGATACAGGCCTTGGAATATGGTAATGAGAAACTGACTGTAAAGATGCAGGCCTGGAACATGGTAATGAGAAGTTGACTGTAAAGATACAGGCCTTGGAGGATAATATTCTATTCGAGCATTACAGTAGTCACTAAAGTGGATAAGATAGCTTTGGCTGATAAGATAAAAGCCCTAGAGGTATTTACAAATGAAAACAAAAAAGTGACTGATAATAGGTGAACTTTAGAACAGCTTACTACTCAGGAGATACAAGTCTTACAAAAGGCAATTACTGGTAAATTCCAAGCCTTAGAAAAAATTATTAGAACTGATAATCAAGGTGTTCAGACATAGACAGAAGGCTCCAGAGGAGAACCAACCACACCACTACCTTATGGAATTAGAGAAGAGCAGCCTGAGGTTGTTAAAACATCAACCATGATTTATCCTGTTACCATTTATGAAAGGCCACCAAATGACAAGTATCCCCAAGGATATACAGAATATAAATCAGATGCTAAACAAATGTTAGACTTAAAGAATATCGAGGAAAGAATAGTCTCCTATGGTATGCATTCAGCATATGTGAGGCAGATGTTGAATATATGGTCCTCTCAGAACAAAATTACTCCAAAGGAATGGAAACAATTAGTTACAACAGTATTAGAATATAGTCCTCAGTTAGAATGGAGCAGCTGGTTGAGAGAAGTTAAGACCAATGAACAGCAAGGTAAGGCTAGAGGTTTTCAGATTTCCCAAGATCAAATCCTTGGTGAGGGCCGTTGTGCTGATGTGGATATTCAGGCTGCATTTGATGAGCACACCTTGTCCCCATGTCATACAACAGCGTTAAAAGCTTGGGACAAGATTCAAGAATCAGAAAAGAGAGCCGAATCATATACTAGTTATACAAATCCCAAAAAAAACTTTCACTGAATTTTTATAAAGATTGACTTCAGCTGTAAATAGAATGATATCAGATCCAGAAGTTAGATGAGTACTAATTAAAACTTTGGCTTTTGAAAATGCTAATTTACAATGCAAAAAGATAATCGGGTCTTTAATGATCAGAGCAGCACCCATAGAAGAATGGATTCAACACATGGTCAATATGAGTCTTTTAACTATGATGAGGCTTGGTTAGGAGAGGTGATTTCCAAACACTTAAGGAAAAAAAATCAAAATGTCAAATGCTTTAATTGTGGTAAACAAGGTCATTTCAGGAGAAGTTGTAGGCAGGGCATTCCTAGAAACAATGTTTCTTCTAGAGATAACCTGAACTGAAGACCCCAACCTTCTGAATTATGCAGATGCAGCAAAGTCTAACATTGGACCAAAAAATGCAAATGTAAGGAACAATCAAGGCAACACTTTACCCCCAGGAGATGCCTGGTGTGTGTGTGTGTGTGTGTGTGTGTGTGTGTGTGTGTGTGTGTGTGTGTGTGTGTGTGTGTGTGTTGCAGGCTTCCATGTCAAACTTGGTTCAGTCATTCCCTGTCACCATGTGGCTAATACTGCAATTAATTTATGGGGTTGTGACTTGTTACAGCAGTGGAATACCCAGATTATCATTCCTCCAATCTCAGGAACAGACCATAAACCAATGTATTTTTTTCTGGAAAAATGTTAAGAGGTATTATACAGAACAGTCACCAACCATTCAGGCTGTAGGAAAACAGGGCACAACAGCTGTTGATCTTTCAAAGGTACCAACAGCCTTGCCTTTAAAATGGCTAACTGGCAAACCTGTCTGGGTGGAACAATGGCCCTTGACATCAGAAAAATTACAGGCCTGAGAACAGCTGCTACAGGAGCAGCTAAATGCTCAGCATATTGAAGAATCTTCCAGCCCTTGGAATTCTCCTGTATTTCTTATTAAAAAGAAATCTAGAAAATGGAGAATGCTGGCAGATTTGAGAGCCATAAATAGAGTAATTCAGTTGATGGGCTCTCTACAGCATGGAATTCCCTTGCCTTTTCTGTTACTTAAAGGATGGTCTGTTATAGTTATTGATTGGAAAGACTATTTCTTCACCATACCTCTACAATAAAAGGATAGGGAAAAATTTGCCTTCATGATGTCTACTTATAATAATTCTCAGCCTGTTAAGAGATATCAATGGGAGGTTCTCTGACAAGGGATGTTGAACAGCCTCATCTTTGCCAATATTTTGCATGACAGCCATTGGAAATTGTTCGTGTACAGTTTCCTCAATCTATAATTTACCATTTTATGGACAATACCTTAGATCATTCAAATGTTGATACTTTAGAAAAATGTTAGAAGAGGTAAAGAAAATTTTGCTTTGCTGGGGTTACAAATTGCTCCTGAAAAAATACAAAGAGAAGATTTTATTAATTACTTAGGATATAAAACAGATTTACAAAAAAATTCAACCTCAAAAGGTACAAATCAGGAGAGATCAGTTGCAGACTCTTAACGACTTTCAAAAATTGCTGGGAGACATTACCTATCTACAGCCCACTATTGAAGTAACAACTCAAGAACTGAGTAATTTGTTTCAAATTTTAAAAGGTGACAAGGACTTAAATAGTCCAAAAGAATTATCAGCCCAAGCTGAGAGAGAATTAGCTTTGGTGGAAAAGAAATCATAGGATGTACATGTGGATCATTTGGATCTGGAGCTTGATTGCATTCTGGTTATTTTACCCTCTGCACATTCCTCTACAAGGATTTCAATGCAGAGGGAAGATATTACCTCAGAGTGAATATTTTTACTACACAAACAGAGTAGAAAATTAAACACCTATGTGGAAAAGTTTTCTGAGTTGATTCTAAAAGGAAAATTAAGAGTTTGTCAATTGGCAGGAATGGACCCAGCAGAAATTGTAGTGTCTTTTACTAATGCTGAAACTTCCTCTTTATGGCCAGAAAATGAACATTGGCAAAGAGCTTGCAGTAATTTTGGGGGAGAGATTAACAACAATATCCCAAAAGTAAGAGACTTCAATTCATAAAAAGGACCAACTGGGTCCTTCCTCACATTGTACAGGAACACCAATATCTGGAGCCCCTACATTCTATACTGAAGCAAATAAAGCAGGAAAGGCAGGTTGTAAATCAGGAAATTTAAGTGAAGTGGCTCAAAGCAGATCAGGGAAATAGGGAAAGCCACAACTAACCTCACTTCACCAACTCCACAGCTTCCAAAGAGTGAGCTACTTCCTGTCTACCCACACCTACATGCCTTGCTGTTCTGCCATCTGATTTGCTCTCTCTGTCCAGCTACAACACTTCCTCTTCCTGCCCAGCCCTGTCACTTCCTGTCTGTTTGTACAGACCTCCACACTTCCATGGTTAACTAGTGTTGGAATTTAAGTCATGCACCAGCATGCCTGGATCTGTTTCCAGTGTGGCCTTGAACTCACAGAGATCCAGATAGATCCCTGCCTGCCAAGTGATAGGATTAAAGGTGTGTGCTGCCATTGCCTGACTTCTAAATAGTGGCTGGCTTTTTCCTCTGATCCTCAGGTAAATTTTATTAGGGGACACAGTGTATTGAAGGACAAAATACATCACCACAAAAGCCCTTAAGATTCTGTCTAAAAGTCAGAATTATATGCTATTCTCATGATATTAATGGATTTGACAGAAACTCTTAATGTAGTTACTGACTGTTACTATGCAGAAAGAGTTTTGTTTTTTTTTTTTACATATTGAAACCACTGAACTGATTCCTGATGAATCAGAATTAACTTAGTTATTTATAAGATTACTGGAAATAGTCAGGAATAGGAACCCTCATATATACGTAGCACAGATCAGATACCATATGAGTCTGCCAGGTCCTCTAACACAAGGCAATGATGAAATTGATCAGTTATTAGTAGGAAATGTGATGGAGGCCTCAGAATTTCATAAAAAAAAACAGCTTGTCAATAGCAAGGGTTTGAAAAAGAAATTTTCCATCACTTGGCAGAAAGCCAAGGAAATGTCCTACTTGTTTTTGTGTGCTCAAACTCTACCACTTTCAGGAAGTAACCCAAAGGGTACTCAAAGAAGTGAAATTTGGCAAATGGACACATTTCATTTTGCAGAATTTGGAAAATTAAAATATGTACACCATACCATAGATACATATTAATGATTTCAATGGGCAACTGCTTTGAGTTCTGAAAAGGCTGATTCTTTAATTGCACATCTATTAGAAGTCATGGGCATCATGGGTATACCTGTACAGATTAAGACAGATGTGTCCAGTAAAATGAAACAGTTTTTTGCATGTTACAATATAAACGTATTACATGTATACCACACAATCCTACAGGACAAGTAGTTGTAGAAAGATCTAACCTCATCATAAAAGAAATGCTTAATAAACAGGAAGGGGTAATAAAGACCCCCAGAGATACATTACACAATGCCTTGTTAATTTTACATTTTCTAAATGCTAATGAGAAAGAAATAACAGCTTCAGAAAGACACTGGACAGTAGAAAAAACACTGAGCTAAATTAGCCTGTGTACTTTAAAGATGTGTTGACTTTAGTATGGAAACCAGGATATGTGTTATGCTGGGGAAGGGGTTTCACTTTTGTTTGCATAGGAGAAAAAAGCTGTAGATACCATCAAAATTAATAAAGATTCAATTCGAACAAGAGAGACCTCTTGATTAGGAGAAGTGATTGTTCATCAACTGATATGGTGATTCAACTTGCTGAAAGGAAAAATTAACCAAATTAGGATCTGGGCAGGGTTCTGTTTTTTTTTTTTTTTTTTTTTACAGGAAAAAAAAAAACCCATCTTGAAAAATTTAAGGGCCTTTGGACAGATAGACATCTAAAGAAGAAGAGAGAACTGTCCAGAAAAAATTACCAAGGAAAGAAACAATCTGGCATGATGGTATAATTACTTCTGCAGGGTAAAATCTCTTTACCTCTCAAAATATTTGTAGTCTCAACTCAATTAAAAACTAAAGATGGCTTTGGAGTTGGAGTGTGGCTCTCTCCTTCTCTAAACCCAAGCATGTTGTTAAAAGAAAATTCAGAGTCTCTGTCTCATATCAGAATAACCACCTAGTATGGGACAGAAGAAAACCAAAATCTAGGGACTATTGCTGTCATAAGTCTCTTTCCCCTCAAATTTATTTTGACTCTTTAGAACTTTTCTTTAGGTATAATACTATCTTAAAATTTAAACTTTCTGTTTTGATATTAATAATGTTTAAGTTTTCTAAAATGAACAATAAATTTTCCTATCATCGATCTCTGAAGTCTCCAAAAGAGTGATGGGGCCCCACAACAATGATTCTACCTGGATTGTGTCATTGCCGTTGAGCCGATAAACACCATCCAAAGATCAGCTTTGGGCTATAAACTGCTCAGGACAGTTCCAACGTGGCTTCTTGCACGCTCCAGCCAGGACTTCAGATAAGCTTTGCCCATTACTCAGAGACTGGCTCCAAATGTTGCTTGCAGCTAGTCCTCCTAAGACTTAACCGTTTCAGTTTTTAGATACCATTGCTCCCCAGACAGCAGGACTTTAAGAAGAGGATGCCCATTTTCCCAATAGGTGAGGTGGATGGTTTCTGGTCTTTCTTGGGGTTATTAAATAATTGTTGTCAGGTGGGGGCATCGGTTATAGTTTGTTATAGGTTAAAGGGCAGAACAAAAGAGATTAGACTCAGGGATCTCATTTGGAATAAAAAAAGGGGCATAGATATAATAGGACAAAAAGGTATATTTTAAAATCTACTTGTAAACCAAAAATGCAACTATTAGTTTTAAGTGATTTACATTGGTATCAATTCTTGTATATTGATACAAATCCAAAGTTATACTGTATATATATGTTTCTATTCCTGTTTAAAATATTTTGTATATCATTACAAATTTATTCAAAATTATTCAAAATTCAAAATTATTTTTGTTATATTGTATATATGTTCCTACTTCTGGTTAGGATATTTTTGTATATTGAAACAAATGCAAAGTTTTTTGTTACACTGGATTTATGTTTCTACTTCTGTTTAAGTATATTGATACAAATTAAGGTTATTTTACATTATACATTTCTTACTCTGGCTAAGATATTTTTGTATATTGTCACAATTTTGAGGTTATTGTCCTTATACTGTACATCTGTTTCTATTTTTGCATAAGGTGTTAGCTCTACAGCTTGTTTATTTATATAATGTGAAGCTTTAGTCCTTAAGGTATAATATAGGTTAATAAGAATTAGAGGTTAATAGTCACCCATGTTTGTCAAACCTATAGTCATGTTAGTTAGGTTTTCTAGGTGTTCATAGCTACATTCCAAATAACTAGAAAATCTTCAAACACTTCAAAGACCTACAGAATATGGCATTTAAAATGTTTTAATAACATAATTCTTTTGATGTGAGACATGTCTGCTCTTGGCAGCACCAATCTACTCCCAAGACGATGGTGGGCACCAAAGACATGCCATATGGAGTTTGTTTTCTTTTTGGCAAAACTGACCTATTGGGCAAGAAAATACCTTTGCCTTGACTGATGATGGTAAGTATGCTGTCCAATCTGGACAAGCAGGAAACAAAGAAAATTGACTGCCAAACTTTGCCAAGACAGGGTAGGGCAACTCTTCAAATATTTCTGATTCTGAAAAGGGTCCATCAGATATTCTAGGCCTATAGGCCAAAGTTGGATGTCCCAATGTTGCAGAGAAATCTTGGGTGACTGTCCAGGCAGCCAGCTGTTTCTGTCATTTTTTACATTTTTTTTTGGAAGTTGCTTGCTTGCACTTCCTGCTTACTCAGGTAATATTATTTTCCTTCTCAGGTCTTAAATGGGTTTGTAGACTAGAAAGTTACAGTTACAGTCCTCCCGAATCTTAGCTAAGGACATACTAACTACAGAAATCAGATTCTTCAGGAAAGGGCACTATCAGAGTAATTACTTATGGTCTGGACATCTAGGATGTATTTCTTACTTGATAATTGTTCTTCTTGTATGTACTTTCATTTTTTATTATTATTTTTTCCTTCTTCTGGACAATACTTGATAATAGTTCTTATTATATGTAGTTTTTATTATGTTAGGAGTAGAACCTTCCTTCTTAATTAGACACGAAGGGGGAAATGTTGCCAGAATTGTGACACTGGTCTGTTAGCCAACAGTAAGCAGCAGCTTGGCCCAATGGGGGTGGTCTTATATGAAGAGGTGTGAACCGATAAGAAGTCAGGGTTGAGGGGAGATGCTTGCTCTCTTGGACTGTGGAGGGGCTTGCTGAAGCCACAGAGAATGTGCTGCTTGGTGAGCTTCCCCGGACCTTCCTCATTGCCCTTGGGAATGAGAGGCAGCGGTAGCTGGATCAGTGGTGGCATTGCAGCTTTGTTCTGTATTGTGAGTGCAGTGCACTAATTTTGTCTGTCAATCTCCGAACTGATCCCAGTCTTCCTTCCCTCTTTAGGCAAAGGTAGGACAAAATGTTGCCCCTGCCTCTGATAAAGCAGAGGCTGCAGAGGATAAAAAATAAAACAAGGAAGTGTCACACAGCGAGAACACAGGAGTTTCTACTGAGGAGCCATAGACTGTGGGTTAGGTTAATTGTAGATGTAACCAACCTTCTTATTAAATAAGAAACACAGAACCAATGTGTTAAAGAGAAAGCCAAAAGGTCAGAGCTCAGAGCTAAAATCTCACCCTTCCTCCTGCGGTGGTCTTAGCTTCCCGAAAGAGAGCTATTTCCCTGTGTGTAAGTCGTTTCATAGTCATTCTGCCTTCTCATTGGTTGTAAACCCAAACACGTGACTGCCTCATCACTGTCTGTATGTACAGCCCCCCAGGTCTTAAAGGCATATGTCTCCAATGCTGGCTGTATCCCTGAACACACAGAGATCTATGGGATTAAAGGCGTGCACCACCACCACCACCACACTCTGTCTATGGCTCTAATAGCTCTGACCCCCGGGCAACTTTATTTATTAACATACAATCAAAATCACATTTCAGTACAATTAGAATACCACCACAGTTAACGATTAAGAAAAACAACTGAGTCCCAGTAGCCCAGCTAGCTTATTTATTTTAATCTTACTGTTGGCAGATGTGTTCACAGGTTCACAGTGAGTGCATCATAGCTGAAACAAAGCCTTACAATGACTTCAGGTTAGGTTAAGATGTTTTGATAATAGCTTTGAGGTGAAAAACCCAAGAAGATTATCTAAAGTTTTAGAAAAGCTCATAGTTGAGTAAGGAATTCATTAAGGTCAGGAAATAGGGACAGAGCAGGGTAATTATTATTAGCTGATGAGCCTTTCTTGCTAGGATGGCTTGGTGACCAAAGGGAATGATTGATTCCTTGTACCTATTCCTGCCCTTAGCTTCCTGATATAGTAAACTATTGACCAATGGGTAAGCACCCCAAGCACTTAGAGTAGAGATAATTGATTGTTTTTCATGTATAAAAGCTTAGATTTGTGATTTCTTTAAGACCCCTCATAAGATCACCTTTTAAGATAAGTAATAAAATTATTGGTCCTTTCTTTGTTACTGCAAAGTGCAGACTGCCAGCAAAAGAACTGGCTGAGAAAATGCCTTGCTCACTCACACTCTGTTCACCTGTAACAAGTTGTTTGGACATAATGTATGTGGGTTTGGGGACAACTTGTTTCTTACCTGTAATATGTAAAATGTTTAGTCATGTAAGGAATATGGAAAACATTCTGTTTTTTACTTGTATTCCTTATAATCATTTACTTGAAAAACAGAATGTAACCACATTGTAATTTTTATATTGCTTGAAATATTTTGCTGGGGTGTATAAGCTGTAAGGGAAAAAATAAAGTTAGAAGGAAACATCAAGAATGAGAGAAGGAAAACACCAGGAAAGATGTAGAGGGAAAATGAGGAGAATTAAAAAAAAGAAGTCAGAAGGAAATCATCAAGAATGTGGGTGTCTTTTTCCCTTCCTCTTTCAGATAGAGAAGTCCTAACTCCTCGACTCTGTTGGCTTCCCATCAAGCCCTGAACTGCAGGAGGCTGCTCCTTACAGAGGCAGGAACCTTTGCACATGCGGATATAATGCATTCAGGACAGTTTCCCACATGGGTACATGGTATCCAGAGCTGCTTCCCATCACATACATGACATCAAAGGCTGCAACCCTAGCTGGTACCTGATTTCCAGGCCTGCTTCTTACATGAATACATGATATCCAGGCCAACTACTCAAGTTGGTATATGATATCTTGTCTTTTTGGAGTGCAGGAACATCATATCCAGGACTGATTTCCATCTGGCTACAACATATCCATGCCTGCCTCCCATATGGACACATGAAATCCAAGTCTATTTCACATCCATGACGTTACAAACTGATTGTCAGGCCTGTACATGATTTCCATGCCTGTCTTCCAGGCATGTTTATAATATCCAGGATAGCTCCCAAAGGTTTTATGCAATATAGAGACCTGCTTCCACTGAGGTCCCAACCAATCCATGACTGCTTATCATTGAGTACGTGATATCCAAAACTGCTTCTAACATGGGTACATGACATTCCAGCACTGCTTGTAAGGGGGTTACAGAAATTGAGAACTGATTCCTAACTGGGTAGAACTGCTTCCCATATAGATATATGATAACCAGCACTGCTTCTCATATGGGACTATGACATCCAGGACTGCTTGCTATGTGGATCCATGATATCCAGGACTGATTCCCAAGCAGGCACATGGTGTCTCGGATGGCTTCCCATGTGGGTACATGATATCCAAGATTGTTTTCCGTGACGTGCAGACTGTTTCCTGTATGTGCCAGTTCTTACTAGCCAGGCCCGTGTTACCTGATACGGCTGATGAGAACTGAGAACCAGGCTGGGATGGAGGGACCACATCAGGACTGAGGCTATGACAAGTTTATTTCAATTAATCAGACTTTTTATACTCTTACCAGAAACAGAATATAATGGTGGTTTCCAGGATCAATACAAATATCAATACAGTGATATTTGCAAGCTATACAGGGTACTATATATACTATATAGCTATACATAAGATTAATGGCTAAGACTAATTGTCAATTTCCTATATGCTTTGCCAACTTTTAGGGAACGCAGAGACACAGTCCGCCTGAATTCTTCACTGCCTGGGTGAGTGTCTCGGTCTCTCAGGAACTGAAAAGCACATAATGTCCCAGGAGCCATGGACTCTAACCTGAAAAACCTATGATGCATGCCTCTCAAGGCAGCTAGACCAGGCTAGGTCCACGGTTCCTGGCAGTTTCCATGCAGGTACATGATATCCAGGACTGTTTTCAATGTAGGAACATGACATCAATCTCTGCTTTTTCAGGCAGGTCCATGATATCCAGACTCCATCAAAATGGTTATAAGATATCCAGAACTGCGTACCATGCTTTTATACAAGGACTGCTTCCAATGTGGTTCCAACAAATCCTGGAAAGCTTAACATGTGGATACATTGTATCCAGAAATTGTTCCTATGGGGGTACATAGTATCCAGGACTTCTTCCCATGGGAGTACATGCTATGCATGGCTGCTTCCTGTCTGGGTACAACATATTGAGGACTGCATTCCATGGGTGAACAACAAATACATGCCTGCCTCCCATGTGTGTAAAAATAGGCAGGACTGCTTCCCTTGCATGTACTGCATGTTTAGGACTCCTTCCCATGCAAGTACGTGGTATTCAGGACGAATTTCCAAGACACAAGGAATCTATGGGACAAGGTATCTGTGCCTTTTTCCTAGGTGGGTACATCATATCCAGAATGTGTGTATAATTTATTTAGGTCTCATTCCTATGGGGACACATGGTATTCAGGACTGTTTCCTATGGCAATGAATGACATCATGGACACTTGTCAGGCCTGCACATGATATCCATACCTGCTTCCCAGTGTGGTTCATGATACCCAGGACTGCTTTTATCCAATATACAGTACTGCCTCCAGTGTGTATCCAACAAATTCTGGGAAGCTTATCATGTGGGTACAGGATATTCTGACCCCTGAACTGAAGATGAGGAAGCTAAAACCACAAATCACACAGCAAGTTGTCCAAGCCACCAGAGCCATGGTTTGTACTCATGTCACCCTCTTCTAAATCTTGGCTCCTACAATCCGTATTGGCAAGACCGCTAGCACTCATGCTTTGGCTAAAATCAGTGCTTCTTTAACACGCCCCCAGGCCATGAAAATGGTAATTCTTGCCAGTTTGTTCTGATTCTCACATTAACTTCTTTTTCCAGAGGCTAAATACAATCAGCTAATCTTTCCCCTGTTATCTTTCATGACCAGAGTTGATACTATGTATAGGAAATGAGGAGACAAAAAGTGAGTCAACGCATGCGCTGTGGAGCAGGTTGTCGGAGTTAAGATTCCTTAACTGATCAATACCTACATGTCTTTAGGAAAGTCACTTATCCTTTCACCCAAGAAGTACATGCTAGGCCTCAGGGTAGACAGTGGAGATGCAGATGATATTACCATCATGGGGCCGACTATAGAATCTTCTTGAGATCCCAATCTCCTCACCTGTAAATATATGCTACGTATTAATGATAACAAACGCATAAAGATTCTGTACTGGTGAAGCAGAGCATCATGGAAGAGTGTGGATGAGAAAATTGCTGCCGTCAAGGTAGCCAGGGACAGGAAGGCCAAAATAAACCACTCAGAGTCATGCCCCAGTGGCCCACTCTTCCAGGCCATCTCCCACAGTTCTAACTACTTCACATTATCTACTCAACATTTAAATCCATCCATAGGTTAAATGATCAACCCCAAGCCTCACCAACTAATTAAATCTTGTCATTGTCTCTGGAAATGCTTCCACTGAACATGGAGGGACATACACAATCAATTTCCAATGAGTCACTCAGTCTGATCAAGTTGACAATCAAAATCACTCATCAAAATGGCATACCGCATTTAATTTTAATTTAATTTTGTTCAAAACCATTACTCAGATATTTGACTTCAGGCAAAGTTGATCTAGGGATTAAATTATCCAGCTTTTTTTTAAGAAAAAAAAATCACTTTTGAGATGAGTTGTGCTCATTCAAATCTCTTTCTGAGAACATATCCAACTACCAATTTTATTTGTCTGGCACTCAGTCTGAAAAGTCAGAAGCTGCATTTAGCCAGCATAAAATTTGTTTTTTTAAAATTACTCAGTTGATTCTAGTGTTGGGACAAAATTAGCATCAATTAATGCAAAATTCTTCTATACCACTGTTACAGATCTTTGCAGCAAAAGCTAAAGGGTACTGAATTTCTTGTTTATGGACTTGAAACATTTATCATTGGACTTTAAGAGCAATTTGATCCCATTTTTGTCACATGATGAATTTGAAATAAAAAAAATCATAAAGGACATTGTACTGGTTGGTTTTGTGTGTCAACTTCGGGTCATCAAAGAGGAAGGAGCCTTAGTTGAGGAAATGCCCCCACGATATCCCGCTGCAAGGCATTTTCTCAATTAGTGATCCATGGGAGAGGGTCCAGCCTATGGTGGGTGGTGTCATCTCTGGGCTGGTGGTCCTGGGTTCTATAAGAAAGCAGGCTGAGCAAGCCATGATGAGCAAGCCAGTAAACAGCTCCCCTCATGGCCTCTGTATCAGTTCTGCCTCCAGGATCCTGTCCTGACTTCCTTCAGTGGAACAATGATGAAGTGTAAGTCAAATAAACCCTTTCCTCCCCAATTTGCTTTCAATAGAAACTCTAACTAAGACAGAAATGCTATTTATCTTATTTAAGTTTTTGAACCACTTATCATCTCTTGATGGTAAGCAGATATGCAGGGTACTAGTATAAAAGGTTTAGAGAGGATTTTCAGGTCTCGAAGAGGGTTAAACTCACGCCATTCTTTGCTGTGCATTTCTCTTGGCATGAAGCTAGTATAACATATGCCAAATAAATGTTCATGTTTACATACTATTTCCACTTAGGCCACTCTGGCTCACAGAGTGGAATGTGTGGTCACCAGGGAGTGACACTATTAGGAGGTGTGGCTCTATTGGAGGAAGTCTGTCACTGAGGATGGGCTTTGAGGTTTCAGAAGCTCAAGCCAGATGGCGCTCTCTCTTTCTGTTGTTTGGTGATCTGGCTGCAGAACCTCCCAGATACTCTTCAGCACCATGTCTGCTATCTAATGAAAAGCCCAACACCAGGCATGAAAGCTGTCTTTGAGTTAAGAGACTCGCAGAACATTAGAAGGTATTGTTTCCATCCTTTGTTGTATCTTAGACGCAAGTCTACATTGCTGAAAACACCATGCACTTCAGACTCAGAGCCTAGAGGGCCTGGGATGGAACTGACCCAGAAGCATGGTTCATAAGTCACCATGCAAGCCCTACACAGCTATGATGCCTACGAACCACAACAATAACCAGAATGGGATAATAAAGGGTCCCTTAGTGGCACACATACGTTGGTGGTGATCAACAGCTCTTTATTTGGACTTAAGACCCACTCAGCAGAAGGGAAGTCATGCTTAGTAATGGAAACCTAACCAACTATCCATGGCTTGTGATATCATGGATCTTGGAAGAGAATCTACAACTACCACTTCCCTAAAGAGCCAAACCCCTAACTACATTCTAAATATTTGTCTTTATACACACAGATACGTGTAGTCCTCACCCCTCATCAAGGAAACTTCTCTTTGCAACAGATGGAGACCATTTCAGAAACGATCAATCAAAAGATAGAGTTGTGGATTCTGCTCTCAACTGATACATCTACAGTACAATTCTGCACCCAAGGCTTAGGGGTCATTGCTGAAGAAGGGAGGGTTGTAAGAGCCAGAGGACAGTTTAGTTTGGGCCGTTAGGACAGTGCTGTCCCCGTGAGGCTTTGTTTCCTCTTTGAGCATTACAAGTCCTCCTGCCGATTTGATTCATGTCTGGCTGTACAACAAAAAGCCCAAGGCTAGTAGCTGGGCTTAGCCACGTGAAAAGCATGGCATGACACACTTCACAGCGATTCAGCAGAGGAAGAGGGAAGCCGGATTGGAGAGAGATGGTGGTCCCGTGCAGTTGTTGCCTTTTGAGAGTCGTGGCCTGCTGTGTAGGACTGGGCTCACCACCGAAAATACACTCCACTGATATTTCCGCTTCCGTATTGAAGAGCTTCGGTTTATAAACATTTGCCAGGCACTCCTATTAATAGTCATGCTAAATCCAATAAAGCAAATACTTAACCGGGCAAAGTGGCACGTGCGGTCTATCCCAGCTCTCCTGAGGCAGAGGCTGGCAGAGCTCTAAGAGTTAGAACTAAACCAGCTTGTGAGTTTCAAGAGGCTTTAAACACAGTGAGTTTCAAGCCGGTTAAAGCTACACGGAGAGACGCTGTCTCAAAGCAAAAAAGCCAAAATACACAAAAAGAAAATACTAATTTACTAGAGCTTGGCCCAGCATTGAAAATAAGCGAAGAGCTGGAAAAAAAAAAAACTGACTATACTGGGCCTCTGCCCTTTTAGGTCTGAGTGCCCAGATCAATAAAATCAAGCTTCTCCTCATAACAGCATACTTCTCAGCGAGGAACGATCTGCATCTGCCTCTGGATTTCCATGCTCAGTGGGGAAGAGCGGCTGCCCCCTGCTGGTCACACCTGCATAACGCAGCCTTAGACATAAAAATCCCCGGCCCGGGCGGTCGCTGGCTGATGATGTAGCCGCGCGTCGGAGGCGGGGCAGGGAGGCGGCGTCATCCGTGCGCGTCGCGAAGCGCCGGACGAGCCGCATGGCTGCGGGCTGTGCGGAGTCCCCGCGGCCCAAGGCGGCCTCCGCGGCGGGTCCGGCCGGGGCTCTGCCCTGCCTGGAGCTGCCGAGCTACGCCGCGGCGTGTGCGCTGGTGAGCAGCCGCTACTCCTGCCTGGTGGCCGCCCCGCACCGCAGGCACATCGCCCTGTCGCCCCGCTACCTGAGCAGGAAGCGCACGGGCATCCGCGAGCAGCTGGACGCCGAGCTCCTGCGCTACTCCGAGAGGTACGGTCTCGGCGTCTCGGCGGCCCCTCTCGGCTCGGGCCCGGCCCTGGCCGCGAAACCCCACGGCGCCGCCCAAGTGCGGTCGCACGGGCTTCGGAACCTTCGCCCCGGGCGTCCACAGTCGCGGGCCGCGCCGGGGGCGGGCGGGCGGGGGGCGCAGTGTGGTGGCCCCGCTCCTGGGGATGAAACTGAGAGCCAGCGTGACGGACCGCGGCGGCCGTGCCGAGGGCAGTCCCAGGGTGGAGACCAGCAGTGCCCGGTGTCTAGGGACCCCATAGGCGGAGCTTTGTAAAAGTTTCATTTAGCCACTTCCGGGTGTGTTCTCCTTAATAGTGAAATTTTGCCGTCAGTACTAGATTCTTTCTCCTACCTGGGAAGACAGCATATAAACATTAAGTCGTTTCATTGCAAAGCATAAGTGGATTTGTTGTACTTTGGGCAATTTCTCGAGGTTTTCTACTCTAGGGTCCAATTG